AGGTAAAATGTTAATCAGCGAATCTAGACGAAGGGTATGTAGGTGTTCATCGTACTCTTTCAATTTTTTTGTGGGTTTAAATTTTTTTAAAATAAAAGTTGGTGGAATCACTCTAGAGAACTACAAGGTGAAATAGAAGCAAAAAAGACCATTAGAAGGCTGCTACAGGTGAGAGATGAAGGGTTTGGGCTGGAGTGACCATGGTGGCAGAAATGAGAAATGGAAGGATTTGAAATCTATTTCATATGTGAAACCAGCAGAATTTACTGATAGATTGGCTATCGGATGTGAAGAAAAGAGGAGTCAGTGTGTCTCTTAGGGTTTTTTTTCCTGAGCAACTGGGAGATTGATAATGCCATTAACTAAGATGGGACAACAGGCGAAGGGCCAGATTTAAGGGATGCAAAATAGCAATTCTATTTTGGACATGTTAAGGGTGAGCATCCAAGTGCAGACTGATTTGGCAGCTGGATAAATCTTTTTCCTGAGCAACTGGGAGATTGATAATGCCATTAACTAAGATGGGACAACAGGCGAAGGACCAGATTTAAGGGATGCAAAATAGCAATTCTATTTTGGACATGTTAAGGGTGAGCATCCAAGTGCAGACTGATTTGGCAGCTGGATAAATCAGTTGGGAATTCAGAGAAGAGGTCTGGGCTGGAAATATAAAATCTGGAATTATGAACATCTAGTGGCAAGCCATGGAACTGAGCAGGATCTCTTAGGAAGCAAATGTAGGTAGAGGAGGGCCAGGACTGAGCCAGGAAGAACTGGAGCATGAACAAACTGGAAAGATGATCACGCAGTTCAATGATTTCTCTTATTCTGATTCTATGCTTACTGAGCAAGCACATGACTATTATTTTATTTCCCATATAGGTCCAACCATAAAGGAAAGATTGGTCATACGGGCTTGGAATATTCTAGTTCCGCAGACAATTCTCATTGTAAATAAACTGATCACACTCACAAGTTTTGTTTGAGTCATCCCCTGAGACTGAGCCATTTTCAGTGTGCTGACAAAACTTGGTGAGTCTGCATAAGGGGGAGCAAGACCTGGGACTGTGGAAATTCCTCAAGGAAGTGAATGCTACACTGCTTGCTGGCACTCTTCATTAGTTCACATCTCTAGGCAGCCTGCCAAGCAAGAATGTTCTCACATTCCCAGAACTATTGAGAAAATCCTAAGCCAGGTATAGCTAAGAAAATACTCCCTTTTTTGGCAGTATTCCTTTTTATTGTCAAAGTTCTATTGATTTGTCAGTGTCTCTTACATAGATTTTCTTTCACACTTTTCTCACATTTCCTTAGATCAGGGTCCTTCTTACTTTATCGCTATTTGGAGAGCATTCTCTATGTGCTTGCTCTAGATCTATTTTTAAAAATTTTATTTCATTTTTGAGTAGGTAGTACTCAAATGGTTGAAAAATCAAAATATACACTGAGCAATCTCCTTCTGACCTCCTCCCAATCCATGTTTCCCTCCAACATCACTGTCCCTATTCCCTTTAGTTTGTGTTCATCTAGAGATTAGGTTACCAATCATTTGCTATTACAAAGCTGCAATGAATAACTATGTATACACACACATACAATTCATAAGATGTAATTTTTGATTTCTCTCCTGAGCTGTGATGATAGGAAAGACATGTTCTACTCCTTTGGGAGGGGATCAACAATTTCTGATAAAAGTTCAGGCTCAAGTTGCATTCCTCTTCCCCTTCCCTTTTAAGTCTAAAACAGGAATACCATAACACTTCTTGTATAACATGATTATGTAGCTTCCCTGGCTGAAGCAGTTCAAGGATGTTCAACTATTTAATGCTTACTATTTTAAAAATAAAAATGGTGTGTACTGATCAAATGAGAAAAAATAAGAAGGTTCATAAAAATTATTGGAGAAAATGTGTTTGTGGGTGGTGGGTTTATATGTAACTTCAGAAAACAATAATAAAAAACTCAGCTGAGAAGTTAATACTTGCTTGTCACCTTTTTCCCTCCCAGGGTGTAGCGGGTTGTATTTTCCAAAGATAGCTGCCTCAGTATATCCCATCCCACATGCTCTTATCATGTGACAATGACACTCTTCTTTTTGAGTGGTGGGGCCTGTGTTCTCTCTTGAAATTCAGCTGACCCTTGTGATTGCTCAACCAATAGAATACAGTGAAAGTAGTCCAGTTAAGCCCAGTCAACATCCAGAACAATAAGAGGTAATAATATAACGATCCAAATTTACTAAGTTCTGGGCTTATTCATTATGCAGGAGTAGAAAACAGGGACAGGAGTTTGACTTTCAATTGTCTTCACAATTACATGATCTTGATTCTTTAATTTTTATTCAGATTTTACTGTAATTTTTTCTGTTATCATTGCAGGTCACCTCAAATCCTTTTTTTTTTGTCTTTTTCCGTGTCCAGCAACGGATCGCAACCCTCAGTGTTGCCCCCGTACCGGACCGGACACTGGCAATGGGATTGCAACCCTCGGTGTTGCTCCCGCGCCTCGCTCAGCCAGTGAGAGGGAGCCGGTCTGTATGTGGGATCCGAACCCTCGGGCAGGAGCGCCGCCACGCTTCCCAAGCGGTGCACTTATCCAGTGCGCCACCGGGCCGGCCCTCAAATCCTTTGTTGTAGACAGTAAAAGTATAATGTACGTTTTTAAAAGTGCTTTACTATCTAAACCAGTTATGTAAACCCCCCAGTATTATTCTGTAAATAAGGATAACCCATGAAAACTTTATCAGCATTTCTGAGGGATTCTTTTAATTACAAGAAAAAAGATTACTTTGTGTAGATCTGTTCTACACTTTCTGCTTCTCCCCAAAACTGATTGCTTGCCCACAAAAGCTAACAGAAATAATCATAATTTCACCTATGAGGACCGAATGACAAATTCATTCAACAAACAGGTCCTCGACAGACATTTATTTGATATCTATTGTGTGCAAGATATTAGAACAGGTGTGAAACATACAAAGACCCACTTCCAGTTTATAAAGGGGTTCCTGAACTACGACTACTTATACCTATTAAAAGCCTACTATACGCAAAGCACTGGGCCTGTCTGCAGAAGTCTTTGAGCGCCTTCAGTCATGAAGGAGTATTTAAAACAACAACAAAATAAAGCAAAATGACCTGACAGGCAATTTAAAAAATAAATGGAAAAAAATTAAACAGCAATTTTAAAGTAGGTTCATTCAGTAAAAGAAAGTTAATTTATTCTCTCCATATTTACAAGAATGAAATGATGTATCATATAGCATAAATCTTTTTAAAAAAAGAACTATACTTAATATAAAGGATCATGAGATAATGCATGGTAGGATGTTACAGGTTTTTTTTTTTGTCTTTTTTTCGTGACCAGTAAGGGGATCACAACCCTTGGCTTGGTGTCGCCCGCACCGCGCTCAGCCGGTGAGCGCACCAGCCAGTCCTATATAGGATCCGAACCCGAGGCGGGAGCGTCGCTGCGCTCCCAGCACCGCACTCTCCCGAGTGCGCCACGGGGCCCGCCCTGTTACAGGTTTTTAACACGTTATTAGTCACCACTTAGAAAACTAAAGTTTTTTTCTCCAGTTTTCTTAAATTCAATCTCAACCCATGTAAATAAGAATTTGTTGAATAAATAAACTGAAAACACGTACTTAGAGGAATGGCTTAAAAATAAGACTTTTATTCAACAAGCAATTCTGAATACTTGTTATAAACAGCACTGCTTTGGGTGTTACAGAGAACTACTAAAAGTAGAAGAGACTGTCCTTAGCCATAGCTACATGCATAGCATTATCTGCATGTGTAAGTTTCAAACTAAAATACAAACATTTGTAAATTCACATCAGGAGTAAGAAATAACTGTTAAATTATTTGCTACTAATGAACTTGGGCTATGCACCAAATACAAGAAAAACCAGCAAATACATGAAATATCTTTACAAGCTTAGGGGCAGGAGAAAAGGAAACTATGAATTTCATACCCTTTCTGGTATTAACTTTTAAGTACAGAAATAAAAATGAGGTCACAATGCAAATCATATTTCCAGTAACATATTTTCAATGGTGTATGGATGGTGAAAAATCTATCCAAGTTTTTCCCAGTGAAATGGAAATAAGCCAAGGGCCACATATAAGTAAAAACTCATTTAATTTATATGCTTTTTGAAATTTCAGACTTTTACCCACTGCTTTACAAATTATAGGTAGGGAAAAATTACTTTAAATGAAGCAAACAACATATATTATAAATAGTTAAAATAAGATGGCCCTTGAAGACCCCAACCAAATCTGAGATTAAATAATTCTATGTACTAAATGTAGAAAAGTGAAGAATAATCATGGAGTAATGGGTTGATGCTTTAATGGTTTGTCATGGGCGAGGTTCTAATGGCTTTATAAGGAGAGTGAATGAGAAGTTTAGCTCTCTTGCTCATACCATGTGACGCCCTTCATTGCTATAGAGAGTCACCACCAAGAAGGCCCTCATCAAATGTGCCCCCTGGACTGTACTTCTCAGCCTCCAAAACTGTAAGAAATAAATTACATTTCTTCATAAATTAAAAAAAAAAAAGGTGAAGAGAGATGAAGAGTAAATAAGGATATGAAAAAAGGAAAAAGGAGCTATAAAGAAACATCCTCCCCTAAACACAAAGATTAACACAGAGCTAAGACAGAGACATAAAAGGGGGAAGAGACACATTTACCCAGATCTTGGCTTCCCCCACCTGGAAGGCTTTCCTTCTAGTTTTTTTCCATAGTCTAATATTTGCCTCTGAATAGTCTGGTGGCCTTAGTGTACTAGTTCTAAAGACTTTTAAAAGTTATGTTATTTTCATAAGTAAACAGAATCAACTTGAGAATCAGTGGCCACATACCTGTTTTGCTTTATGGCTTGAGTTGAATTAAAAGTCTGGTTAACAAAAATCTTCAGATGTTATAGTTCATCTTCTGAATCTGCTATTTTCATAAGTAAACAGAATCAACTTGAGAATCAGTGGCCACATACCTGTTTTGCTTTATGGCTTAAGTTGAATTAAAAGTCTGGTTAACAAAAATCTTCAGATGTTATAGTTCATCTTCTGAATCTTGATCATAAACTTTCACAGGCTGTCTCTTAATATTGATTACCAAATCAATGGTTAATATTTTTGCCAAACACTGAAGAACTGAAGTTAGTAACTGGTACTTAACAGTTACTGATTCCAAACCTGTCTGACCACTTACCACGGGTTGATTGGACTGCAGTGCATGAAGAGCTCTTATATATATTTGTGGAAAGCTATTTCCTTTCTTAGACTTATAAAGGATTTGGGGAATGCCTAAAAGTGCATTAGCTATTATACTAACCATGGTTTGTTCTGATTGCTGGCATTTTTTGGCATAGTTGAGAAGATAGTAATGTAACAAGATCTCAAAATTACCACCCACTGGCAAAACACAACCTGCTGGCATAGATGAGGAACAGTAACTCTGGGAAGTGCAACTATCCACTGATTTATCTCTCACTGGCAACATGCTCCCCTTTCCAGCAATTTTTGTGACCTGTAAACTTCCATAAGAGATTTCTATTCTAGTGTTTTCTGTTGTTGAATTAGTGGTGGAATTACTCTCAATTATTGGTTCATTGTAATCAATTACCCTGTTTTTTTCTGGTGACAAACACATCGGTGTTTCATTTCTTTGGAATGTATCTGTTGGTGTCAGTTTTGGTGTTAGAATACATGCTTCTAATTCCACATTTGAAACTATCAGATTTGAATATGCTTTTAAATATGTTTGAGTTTTTTCCAGTTCATCTTTGTTCTTTACAACTGTGTCCTGATACAGCCTTTGTATTGAGCCATTACCAATCTCTGGTAACTGATTACCTTCTCTAGTATTCTTATAAATAAGAGGACTTGATGTGTCATTTTGGTCATTGGCTTGTGCCACGTAATTTAGATTGAGGTCTTTAAATAACTGCCGAAGCATTTTAAATGCTCCATGTAAAGCATTCTCATGTTGTTCAACTAGACCCTGCACTGGTCCACAAAGAACTATACAGTGTGGTATAAATGGACATGGGCTAATCAAGCCAAGATGAACATACCTTTTGGATCTAAGGATAAGGGGTTTACAAAATTTCACCAAAGCAGTATTAGAGATTTCACATTGTGAGAACGACTGTGGTAGTACAAATGAAGAAAGACCAATAATCCTCTGGATAAGAGAAACAACTTCTGATGATAAACACTCCACCACTGATATGCCATTGAGTTCTGCATAATAAATAACTAAATCTGGTTGTTTCACAGTAGATAGCAGCAATTTTACATTCTGACTAAGTAAATGTTTCATTATTGCTTTTGTCCTTTCCATAATCCAAAATTGAGATGTCTGAAACTGTGCTTCTGAACTTAGAATAAACTCTGATCCAGAAGCTGATAAAAGAGGCTGAATGGTTTCTGTTACTATCACTATTCGTATGTCACCATCTGCTGGACAGTACACAGAAAAATCTCTCTGAAGCACAAGCCCAGCTATGACCCTGGAATCTGAAACAGGAAGGCCTGTGACACCGACATTCAACTCTGCAAAACAGCTATCTACCAACTCAAATACTTCAACCCCACTTTTACAAGACATACACTTAAAAAAGTAGTCACACATCAATTGTGAAATAAATTTGCGATTATTTCTACCCACTCTTCCACAAAAGTATGCTTCTAAGAGCAACTCTAAAGAGCTCCTACACAATGTTCTCTCTTTAGCAGATAAAGAAAAGATGGACAAAAAGTGTCTACTTAAGTACTGGTCCATAATATAGTCTAATATTTGTGTCTGAAAAGTTAGAAGAGCTTGGGAAATAAATTTCCATTGACAACAATTTTTCCAATGCCTTCCATGCGTCTGAATATTTTCGGAAATCAAAGAATCCTTTTCTTTATCTGTAACTTCATGAAGTCCTCTGAGCAAATGGCAAAGAAAGATAATAAATGTTTTAGCACCATCTCCTGTTTTTTTGAGATGACTGGAAACACATGCCACTATCATCCTGTACAAAAAAGAAATAAAGCAATTCAGATTTTCAGAAAGCTGGCTCTCTACGTCTATTTGAATCAAGGTAAAACCATGTTTTCACAGCTGTAGGCACAAAAGAATACAGCCCCTTTAATATACATTCTTAGTTTTTTCTTTCCCAGATTACTTTGTTCTATTTAACGATTGTAGGGTTGGATGGAGTGGCGAAGAGGAATGAGAAGTGTTCTTGGGAGTTAAGAGTTGGGGTTCAGGAATGTTCCTCTGGGCAGTGCTGTACCCCTAGCATACGACGGTCTCACCCAGCGTCAGTATTTCTAGTACACAGCCTCAGGGGGTACAGGTAACAGCTCGGGGTGGCCGGGGCGCGTGTACCTGGCTATGGGATGCTGTAAGTGTAGCGCCTCCAGGAGGCGGCCTCCATCCCGGCTGAGCAGCACCTCGCCGGTGGGCTTCGTATACAAAACTTGGCGCCCGTCGGGCCCCACGCAGCAGCTCACGATCGTTTCCAGCACCTCCGCCACCTGCAACGCCGCCTTCACAGACCCCGCCGCGGCCATCGAACTAACAGTCTGAACCAGTTCCTGCGGCCAGCTTGAACAACTGGATGAACCAAATGGAGCGCGCAGCCGGAAACGGAAGAGGCGGGGAGGAAGCCGGAAACCGTGGCCGAAGCCGGAAGCCGGGGCAGCGGGGCTTCTTGGTTGGACAAGCGCGCTGCTCTTCCGCCGCTTGGCGGAAAAGCCGTGCCGTGGGGTCGAGCTGGACAATCGTCCGCAAAGGTGGAAAAGCGGATAGGGTTTTCCAGGAACTGCTCCTGGAGCGGAAACCCTAAGCCCTTCCTCAGCTTCTTTGCTGAATTCGTTTCCCTCCAGTGGCATCAGCTGCCTCAGACTCTTTAGTTTCCCAGGAAACTTCCTTGCAAAGTCAACATGATAGTGGGGCCTGTGTGGAGGGTCTGGGCGCCATGGGTAGAGTTCGGAGGGCTCCTGCCCCCCCGCCAGAAGCTGCTGCGTGTGTCGTGGCAAAACATCTCTCTCTTTGGATTCAGACCTGGGTTTGCTCTGGCATTTATTTACCTGTGACATTCACCGAGTAAACCTCCTTGGTCCCCACTGTCCTCTTTTTTTTTTTTTTTTTTTTTTTTTTTTTTTTTTTTTTTTTTTTTTTTTTTTTTTTTTTTTTTTTTAAGTGGAGGTAATGTTGTGAAGCACCCTTCCACAGGAAATGCACTTACATACCACTCGTGCAGAAAAGGGCAGTTTATTCACTCTGCCTGGCCAGCGTCCATCTCCCAAGGTGCAACCGAGGAAGAGCAGCATCGGGCTTTGGTCTTGTGGGGTTTTTAAAGACAAAAACTACATCCCGTTGACACACGGGTTTGTCCAGGTGCACAAAGCAAGCTAGGGAGCTAGGTCGTAGAGGCCAGGAAAGAGCCATTCGAGCAGTCAAGCATACAAGTTTTCATTGTGTATGGTTCCTGTTCCCATGTAACAATTCACTGTGTATGGCTCCTGTTTCTATGCAATTGTTTTTGTTTCTATGAGGTCAACGATTTCTCATGCAGAAGGGGGGGGGGGAATCTGCAGGTGAAACGGGGCAAAATGGAGTTACTTAGGTTAAGCAAGCAATTCTATAGAAGCAGGTAGCGTATGTGAGGGTGTGGGGAGCTCTATTTCAGTAACGGATACATAAAAGAAAAATCTCAAGGTTTTGAGGAGGTAGAGAATGTTTAGAAAACTTTGCATAGTTCCTGACATATAGTAAGCACTCAACAGTCAAATGTTTATACAGTACACCCACCAAATTACTGTGGTAGGTCACCACTCTTCTGGCCCATTATCCCCAACTTCCCAAAAAAGGAATATTTCATAAGATGTAGAAGGCTCAATTAATATAATATCCCAATATAAAACACCTATTCAAGTCAAAACATGTTGTCAGTATTGGCAAGAAAGTGATCTCGTAGATATTTCATTGAGTTTGAACAGCAACGGGCTATTTTTCTTATTCTATTCCTATGTACAAGATAGAGGAATACTATAGGTCCTCCCTTTCCTTCCTCCCAGTTAATAAGACAGAACCGATGACAGTCAGAAACCTCTTGACCCTGAAGAGAGGACAAGAATAGGAAGAGAGAAGGGTGTAGGAAAGGGGAGGAAAACCAGAGAGGAAAGACTTCTTGTAATTCATCTGATTTTGAGTCAGTATGGACTAATAGGTGAATCAAGGGGAAAACACTTACATACGGGTTTAGTATATATGTTTAATAGTAAGGTTTGTTTTATTCTGGTTCTATTCATCAAGAAAGTGTTACATTACTTGATACAGATTCAAGAAGTGGATTATTCCACACATTTAGAAGTGAAGTGCTACAATCAGAGTTCTATTTAAGTGTACTGTAGAGAGGTGGTTTCAATTGTGCTCTTAGTGTAGTTTTTGGAGTTAACTTATCTGAACCTCAGATTGTTGATGTATATAATCTGGCTACCTTCCAGTTATTTTAAGGTTGTTATGAAGATTCAAGAAGAATGAATATAAAGCACCAAGTAAAGCATGCATTAGAGATTTTTCACCATCCTTTGCAACTACCTCCACACACACACACACAAAATTTAAAAATTAGGACTAATTTAGTCACTCGATGTTATATTAAAAGTCATTTGATCACAATATTTTCTTTTTAGAAATTTTATTTAGAATGCCTACTTGTAGAAGTTAGCATAATTTTACAGAACATTAGAAAAATTCACTTCTTTTCTCTCTGCAAACATAACAGGTTAGGAATAATAGATTAGAAACATAATACATTACAAAACAGTAGCCTATGACTATCTGTACATTTACTATGCACCTTAAGGAAAAGGATTTGACAGTGTACTATATTTACACTGCAGATAACATACATTTATTTTACCATACAAAACTGACCAGTGGTAGTGCTTGAATTTATCAATGGGCATCAAACAAGATATTCAAACTTAGATGTATATTTTAGCATGCTAAAACGTGAAAACAAGTTCAACTGAAGTTCTGTGGCTCATCAGTTCAAATGTTTCATGGCATTTTTCTTTAAATGGAAAATTTCAATATTGTAATACTAACATAATTTTACATGATTAATGCAGAAAGAAAATTTTCTAAATATTTTAGAAAGTGTATTCACATTCATTTTGTCATGGGTTTCTTGTGGCTCTTCCAAAATATTAATCATATTAATAAGACACTGTTCCTATATGATTTTAACAGTCCATCTTTAATTACAAACTAACAAAGCCAAACAGTATGTTAAGAGTAACAAAAACTAAATTAAATATACTAAATTCATACAATAGGTAGACCAAATGAAACCAACATTATAGTGGCAGGTTATACATTTTAAAGAATCTTTTTCCACTTAGTCAAGATAGAAGTTGAAATGTAAACTTACTGATTTCTGTGGGGTTTTGCCCATTGGTTCAAATTGGAAAACTTGATATAAATGCTAATATTTTATTTCTGTACATTTAACATAATTCAAAATGATCTGCAGTCTCATGTATGGCTCATCAATAATGCCATCATCACTGTATGTCAGACAAAAAAACAAAAAACAAAAAAACCCTATTCATTGCTCACTAGAAATGTTGAACACTGAAAAAAATGGAATTTTATACATTTGTTTTCTTAAATTTTGACTAAGATATTCTTCAAAAGTTAAAACTGCCTTCCGCAGAATTTTGTGTATATACGGCACAAGCTGACACCCAAAACAGTGTGAATCCCATCGAAAAGGCACTGTTTGCAATACTCAGAATAATCTGACAAGTCTACTTCAATGATGTCTGAGTAAAGAATATATTTGAAATAGGTAAACAGACAAACCCTTATAAAAAAGTACAGCATTACTGTTTAAATGTACTATAGCTATATAAAAGAAAATAAAGTGACACAGAGAAATGACCCTTAGGACAACTAAGCCTATAAACATTGAATCATGTTACAGTTATGTGACACAAAAATGACAAAAAGTATTTTCTTAAAGGCACAAAAGCATGAATACTAAATGAGGGTTATATTTTACAAGGCCAACTTTTCAATGGAATGCAGTTGCCAACTGTGACAAAGATTACACTGTACCTTTATAAGCAACAAAAAACTACTGACATGAAACGCAAGAAAAATATCTATTGCTGAAATTTATTTAGCATCTCATATGCCCCATTTATTGTCTTTTCCTGGGCCAGCGACATCTCACTAAATGGTGGATAACTGACGGCATTGTACATTAAACAACTAAAATAGAAATGCACTTGTCAATGGTTACTCATCTAAATTTTCATGTGAGAAAATAACATTTTTGATAAAAGAAAAAAACTGGTCACAAGGTCTTAAATCCCAGAAACCATCATGAGGCTCTCAGACAATTGGGCACTATAAATCACATTATGAATCCATGTGTGAAAGAAGATTAATCTTAGATAAAGGACATTCAAAGTCAATTACATATTATGGCTACATACTAAGTTAATTTTGTGTTTTAGAGGATTCACATACTAAACTTTGTGTAAGCTCTGATCTAAAATTAAGCCACCTGTTTCTGAGTTTTGAATTCAGTTCACAGAAAGGGACTCAGAACTAAAAGCATAAGTGAATTTAGGTTAGATATATGCTCTTAGTGTATAAGAAACAGTCATAAATAATCTTGCTTGTTTTTATGAAATAGTTTTTCACTTCTTAGGTCAGAACCCATAACATTTGCCCTACAAAGAAACTTAAAGTAAAGAGAATAACTACCCTTCCAGTCTTAGAAGATTACCCAAACAAATAAAACACTATTTGGACCAAATACAAGCAGATAAGAACAAAACCCTAAGGAGGGTCACCAACAAAAAATTTTTAAGCTTTCAGGGTTTAATGATGAAATTATTTTTTGATCAGCCAATCAAGTTTTATATAATATAAATTAATACTAATTTAAACCATAAAAAAGATCAAATTGTACAATATTTACAAAATATATATCAATGAATAGGCAGTTGAGCATAATAACATTAGTAACAGAATGTGAATACAAAAATTATATTGACAAATATGAAATATAATTTAAAAAACCACCTATCTCATGTATTCATGAAAATACTGGGTAGAGGTACATCGTATTTAACAATTTAAAAAGTACTTTCACATGTACATATGGAATACAGCAATGTTTTGTCAATAATACATGGGAAATAGCTCTTCATAGACATCTAAGGATACTTAAGACAGCCATACTGGTTAGGGAAAAAAAAAAAGCAGGCTCTTTTTATCATTTTTAATTTTCATAGTTTAGCAATCATCCCTTGGCTTTGTATTTATCATGGCATAAACAATTCATTGTAATTTTATTAGTGTGTCACAGTCTCTTCTCAGTCAATGCAAATGTGACCTTCATTTTCATTAATAACCACTTCAAAATCTATCAGGTTTCTAAGATACATTTTAGGACAACATGTTTCTAAACTTTACTATCTTTGCAAAAATTGCTTATGTGGACCAAAAATATTTATGTAAAAACACAAAGTCAAAATATTAAATGAAGAAACAAACAAACACAAAATCTTAGGAAAAAGTTTTCCTGAGCCTGCACAAAAGGAAT